ATTGAGGTTCCTCACTTTTTAAATTTGTACTGAATACAATAAGGCCTCCTCCTTGTGCCACAAGTCCTCCGCTTCACCCTCGGCGGCCGTGCCTTCAGTCACTATGCCCTGAGGCTCTGGAATTCCCTTCCTCACTCCCTTTGCCTCACCCCTTCGCTTCCTATTTTCAGGTCTCTGCTGAAGACCTTTCTTTTCGACCGCGCCTTTGGTCACCTCCTCCCCCTCCCCCTGGCTCTGCCCCGGGATCCGTTACTGTGAAGCGCTCTGAGACGCCGTCTGTCGTGGAGGGCACTATATAAATCCAAGTTGTTGTTGTAGTAAACTGATATAACATCGCTTCAAGCTCAGTGACTGTAGGCATGAGTCCTCCTGGGCCATTAGGGGCTACTGTGGGCGGGAGCACCTACATAAACTCACACAGTGCAGTATTTATGCTGTATCCGGTTGTCAAAAAGCTAAATAGGTAGCACATGTAATGAATATTTAACACTTGCCATTTTATACTACATTTATCACTGATTTAGATTGTCAGTCACTTCCTTCTGAAGGGTTATGGCACATTCTGTGTACTATAAAGGGATTTTCTTTCACTTTTCCAGATGCGTTAGAAAAACAGTTGTGTCTATGTTGCTTTCGTACTGCTTTTGGAAGTGTGGCTGCCACTGCCACCTTGTTTATAATCCTGGTTTGACACTGACACAGCCATTAGCAGCAATCCAGCAATATAAATATGTTAAACCTTCCTACCTGGAGTCCTGTAGTGTATTGGTTGGAGCACTCACTTCTCATTTGCATTTATTGCTATTCTAGCCTTTGCTAACCTTCCATCACATTGTTTGCCTCCGACTATACCTCACCCCCAACCCAGCCAAAACCCTCGTCCACGCCTTCGTCACCTCCCGCCTCAACTGTTCTGAATGCCCTCCACGCCTGTCTCCCCAGCTCAACTACCCACAAACTACAACTGATTCAGATCTCCCATCACCCATATTCTCAACCACACTCAACTCCACACCCCCATCCCACCAGTCCTCGCAGGCACCAATGGCTCCCTATCACAGAATGGATCGATTTCAAGATCCTCTCAATTGCCCACAAATCCCTTCATGCATTGGCACCTTTCTGATCTGTTTTCTCCCCACTCTACTGCATGCTGCCTCCACTCTTCTGGCTCTGACCTTCTGCTAGTCACTCGTCCCTTCCATTCTGCAATCGGCAGCCGCGCTTTCAGTCACTACGCCACAAAGCTCTGGAACTCTCTGACCCAATGTCTCTGTCTTGCCCACTCCTTCCCCTCTTTTAGACCTCAACTAAAGACCTTCCTCTTCAACCATGCTGACAGTCATCTCCTCCCTCCCTCTGCTCAGCATTAGCCTCTGCCACTGTTAAGCACTCCAAGACACTGCCCCTTGTGAAGGACACTATATAAGTGCAAGTTGATGTTGTTGCTGCGTTCTACTTCTCAACATCAGATCTAGTTTAATAAAAATAATTAATGCACCTGCAAAACAATCCACAATGTGAAACACACAGCAAATCATAACGTCAGTTCTTTTTCAAATTGAAACATGTGTATGTTAGTCCTGGGATTTTGCAGCCAATTCGCAGCAGTGTTTCCTGCAATCCATTTAGAATAAATCTATTTTAACCCTTGGAGCACTAGAAATAAATTATGTGATAATGAGACTTTTTGGACTTTTGCTGCTGCGCCTAGTTTAATGCTGAAAACAAGGCTCTACACTTTTGGACCTTGACAACTTTAGAATTGTTTTTCAAGCAGCTGTGGGTCACTTTTATTTCAGTATGACTTCTAACTTTGAAAATGGTGGTATCTAGGAAGCTGAGAAAAACTAAAAGGACCGGGAACAAAATGTATGACATTCAGAATGAGATAAATTGGTCTCATGTAAAGTACTTCTGCTGTTTACGATTTTAGTGTGTGTCACATAAGGTTGTTATTTTACTGAATAACTTTAACAATGTCATGATTTTAACCTCAATGACAAATAAATATGATGAAAGTGGGACTGGAGACGGCCGAGGTCTGAAGGCAATATTCAACCAGTAGGCTTTAGAATATCCAAGAAAAAAATGAAATGCTGTTCCTTAACATTTCATTAAGGTGAGTTAAAGCATTTTATGAGTCAGTGTGAATGGGAGGGGGACTTCAGTTCTCAAACATTTTTAACTCAGCTCTAACCACTGAGCTACAGTGGAGTTCTGTAGCTCAGTGTTTAGAGCACCCGCCTCGTAAGCAAGAGACCTAGGTTTGATTCCTCGCAGGGCGAAATGTTGGGCGAGTTTCCTTACTCCACGCATCTCTGTTTACTTAGCAGTAAGTAGGAACCTGGTTGTTAGTTGATTGGCGGATCGGTTTTCTGGGGATAATTTGGTCACTCAATCCACGACTGTTTATGGGACATTGCTGTGCACAATTAGCTGCTGCGTTTCGCCCACAAATATACAGTCAATTCACTTTACTGTATATTCTGTGAAGCGCTTTGAGACGTCTAGAAGAGGTGAAAAGTGCTATATCAAATGCAAGGATTATTATTAAGTTGGAAAATCGCAGGGATATGAGAAATTGTTGTTGCGGCAAAGATTTCAGCAAAATGCATCTATTTTAAATTTAATGTAATTTTGTTAATGGAGATGAATAAGAGCAGCAGCCTTTTGGTCTGCCTCTTTGCTGAAAGGAAATGTTTGTCAAAAGACAGACAAGAAAACTATGAGAGGCTTGGGTCATTGGCTGCTGGGTGGTGTTACTTGTTCGGTAGGCAAGTATTTAGAGGGTTAATAATGTAGTTCTGGTTTGTTTATTATAATGGTATGTCCTTATAGTGCACTTAATTTTGGCAGTTACTCTGTTTGGTTCCAGTAAGGAAAATGTCAGCTGGTATCATTCAAATTTGATGAAGCTAAAACTTCACTGGCAACTTTCTTTCATAGTTTAGCCTCAGCATGTTTTTGCCGAGGAAGGGCAGAAGGATTAAGGCCTCTGATAATTATAATGTAGTTTTTATAAATAATCTTAAGATTACACTAACCAGCACAGCAAATAAAATAGACAGAATTAAACATTGAACATTTAATCCCTTTGAAGTTTATACCATTTAAAGTTGATTTTGCTTTGTACATAAGAGTTAATGACTCTGGTGACTTGAAGTTTATTGGTCTGCAACTGAACCTTCAGAGTAAACTAAAGGACAGTCACAGTAGCAAAGGCAATGCTCCTTGCAAAAGAGTTGATAAAAATTTTATTTGATATATAGGCTATGCTTGTAAGATAATTGTTGACAATGAAGTAAACTAATTAAATTATATTATCAAAATGTACAGCAGAGATTCATACTTTTGATACATTAAGTGAAGAGCATTTTGAGTCAGTAACAAGAGGATATAAATCGAGAATTTATCACAAGAAAAATTCTCCCAGGCCCGCCCGGTCACCTGCGGGGTACCCTGGGGCTTCATCCTTGGCCCTTTCTGGTTGTTGTAGTTACAGAAGTTATGGATAAAAACGCAAGAAAAAAAAATGACAACTATTGCAGAATCAGAAAAGTCAGCAATTTACTTTTAAACTCAAACCGTGAAATCTCTGTCACCTTTTTAAATTTATTGTACATATTATATAAATCGTTCATAAGAATATTGTATCAGGTTCTGATGACTTCAGTGGACAGACTCTTAAGGTTTAGGTGAACGAAACAGCATTTAGTTGCATTCTTGTATGCGGACTAACAGCATTTATCTTTTTTGTTGATTTGACCTTTGTAGTCAGCGTTTTACTGTGAAAATCTTTTAACCAAGTTTTTTCTCTAATAGTGTACCTTAATCTACTTAAAAGATATTCTTAAAAGTGGATGGATATCAAAGTAGAAAGTACAAAAAAATTGGAATTGTAGTTGTCATCCTTCATTAAATCTGAACTGCCTGTTCAGGTAGATATTAAATATTTCAGGGCACTATTCAAAAAGATAAGAGAGTTTTTCCCAGTACTCTGGTCACAATCCCCCAAATAAAATTATCCGCGACTGTTTGTTAGACATTGCTTTCTTTGTACACATTGGCTGCCTCAATTCACCCACAAAATACACTGATTTTACTTTCTTAACAGCAAATTACATTTGTAAAGCGCCTTTTATGTCGGGAGGACCTTCGGGAGGAAGGTCCAAGGATCTGGACCCGAGCTGGGGGTTGGGATGAGGGGGTGGAGGACAGAGAGGGTAGCGGTAGAAGGGCGTCCAAATGAGTTGTCAGAGCAGGGGATCTTGATATTGAGATATGCCTTGAAGGAGGCAAGGGAGGGAGCAAGGAATTCCAAAGGATGGCGGCAGAGAGGCTGACATCCCGACCGCTGATGTGGAGTAGGCTGGAACCTGCTGAGCAGACGTAATGGACAGGTTGATATGGGGTTAGCAGGTCGCAGAGGTAGGAAGGAGCAAGGCTGTCGAGGGCTTGAAGGCGAGAAAGAAGATTTTGAACTCTGTCCTCTGGGTGATGGTGATAGGGTCACGGAGCCTGGTGCAGGAGAGGACACGAGCCTCAGAGTTCTGGATGATCTGCAGCTTGTGGAGGGAAGAGTTGGGAAGGCCGACAAGCCGGGAGTTGGGCTGTCGTGCCTACATTTTCTGTGGTATTCAGTCATTGGGTAATACATATCATGCAGTGTGTTTTTAACACATTTAGGGAATTGAGGAAGAATGCTCGCAACATAAAACTACCGTTGTTGTGCACTTACTAGTACAGGATTTTGAAAAGCTATACATAACAGCAGTCCAAACTTAATAGCTAGCTGAGTAAACTGATCTTAAAAAAAACTAATCCTATTTTTTTTCTTCTTGATTCATTTCTGTTCCTAAGCTCCTCAATTCCTTCACAGTGAACAATCTTTGATAGATGACTGGAACTCCAGAGGTCTGACTTTCCCCAGGGATGCTTCATGAATTGTTCCATACGGCACAAGATGAAGGGAAATGTTCAGAAATTTCCTGAGTGGGAATGGCCTTGCCAATGGCAGCTAAGTGCTGGTTAATGATGCGCCTATGGAAAAAAATGTGATTATAAAATAAATCAGACAGTAAAGAATGCTTCACTGTCAATGAGAAGCAAATTTGTAGTGATTTGGGGAAGCTAGTTAGTCTCAAGCATATATTTTCTGTTAGAATACATGGATTTTGAAAGCTATATGCACTTGAATAAAAATGTTGAAGTTTGTTTCCCAGAAGTTTAGTAGATGTCCGATTTAAACTCACAGAATACTCCAGCTCAAAAGCTGGCCATTCAACCCTTCAAGCTATTCTGTGCTGGTGTTTTTCTCTACATAAACCAATTGTATCTAATTCTCCAGCTTTTCTCCCATTCGCTTTAATATTTAGAGAATTTCACATGCCATGCATTTTTTTTGTGTGTGTATGTGTATATATATCTTTAACCTTCCCTTTATGTGATAATAATAATGGTAATCCTTGCATTGTATTACAGTGCCTCATCTTAAACTTAGGCCACTTCTTGAATTTGTGCCCTTGACATGTAAATCAAAAAGACTAAATATCTACATATCAGTACAATGTACAGGTATTGATAAACTGAGATCTAGATGTCTTATCTGTTGTCCAGGACCATTTGTATTTGAGTTGAGACCAGTGAATAGATTAGTCCTACTTCAGAGTAAATCAGAACTGCTGCTTTATCTTGAAGCATTTAGCTATGGCTCAGAAAAAACTCAATAAGCTTTAACAATGGAGGGCATTGTGAGTGGAAAGATATTGAAATTAACGTTGGGATGAAGGTAGCCATCCATACCAATTGTGCAAGATTACTCTTCAAAACTGAAATTTCAGCTCCAAAGTCCTTGGCAACAAACTGAGCTCTCGGGTTTTGTTGACATAAATAATAAAAAAAGATTAAAAATTCAATATTGGCAAGAGGGAACACTTCAATCTCAAAGATCCACTTTAGATTACAAATAACGTGGTCTTTCTGAGATCCATTACTATTCTGATTGCAGTGCAACACTGAGGAATCCATTAATGAAATTCTGTGTAACCAATTCAGTGTAGTGCTGAGGTTAGCAAATCAAATTTTAGTAATTTGGCATAACAATTCTTTATATTTGGCAATCTGTAAGTAAACAGAATATTCAACAAAATAAAATGTTGCCAATTGGTTTTTTTTATATGGTCCTATACATTAGAGATAGAAGGAGTAAATGGAGATGTGCATTTGGGCTCACATTTAGTGCTGATCATGAATTAGAAGTGAACTGAGTAGGTTTTCATGGGATCTGAATATTTTGTACTATAAGGCTCAAAATTATTTGGCATGTGTGCGCATCAGTATCAAGTGAGAGATTTCATAGTACAGATAAAATCAATGGCAGTAGGTTCATCCCATAAATTGTCATCGCTGAATAGAACTATGAACAATTAGACTGTTACGATCAGGGTAGTCTACTGTGTTCATTGAGATTAGTTTGAAGAGTGTTAAGTGCTTTTAGGTTGTAACATAGTTATATATAGATATATAAATGTCAGTTACAGTTTATGGAGGTACGAAAAAGTATGAATTGTTTACTCAAGACCTTTTATTTGCAGGCTCGCTAAGGGTGATGCGACAGCTTTTCTACCAATCATGAACTACGCCTTCACTTCTTACTCCACTCATTTGACTGAGCAGCTTGTGGCAAATGGAGTGGAACTTGCAGGAAAAAATGACCTGCGATTTATTGAAGCTGTTTATAAGGTACATTTTTTTGATGGTTTGCCCATTCAATTATTGAAATTCTAAATTGATAAAGAACTGCTACTTTTTAATTTAATTTTTTGTCGTCACTAATAATCAAATTGTGATTATTATTAAATTGTCACACATCTCCAGTTTTAAGAATTGGTGGTGTGGAATGGAGATAGGGGTGCACAAGAATGAAAGCATTCCTTTAATTCAATTTCAGCAGCTGAGTCGTGTGTCTATAGACATTCATAATTAGGGATACATTGATGGATTATTTGTGAAAAAGACGAGCATCCTGATACAACAACAACTTACATTTATATAGCGCCCTTCACGCCGGGTGGCGTTCCAGAGTGCTTAGAGGCAGGATGAGTGCTGTGCAACTCTGATCCCTCAGAGTTGCACAGCTCTACCCAAAGACAGACAGATACAGTATATCTCATTTTGTTGACAGGTCTTAGAATCATAGAATTATATAGCACAGAAGGAGGCCATTTGGCCCATCGTGTCTGTGCTGGCTCTTTGAAAAGAACTATCCAATTCAATCCCACTCCCCCGCACTCTCCCCATAGCCCTGCAAACGTGTCCTCCGCAAATAATTATCTACTTCTCTTAAAAGTTGTTATCGGATCGGCTTCCACCACCCTGTCAGGCAATGCATTCCAGATCCGAACAACTCACTGTGTGAAACAATTTCTCCTCACCTCCCCTCTGTTTCCTTTGACAACTATTTTAAATTGGTTCCCTTGGGTTACTGACCCACCCACCAGTGGAAATAATTTCTCCTTGTTCACCCTATCGAATACCCTCTTAATTTTGAAAACTTCTATTAGAATAGCCCTAGCTTCTCTATCCTCTCCTCGTAACTGAAGTCCCTCATTCCTGGTACCATCCCGGAAAATCTCCTTTGCTCCCTCTCCAATGTGTTAGCCTGGATGAGTTGGTAGCATGTTCATCTCTGGTCACAAGATTTTGGATTCAAGCCCCAGGTTGGGACTCGTGTTCTAGACACTAATACAGTGCTGGGGGATTGGTGCATTCCTGTGGGTGCCATCCTTTGGATGTCAAAGTCCCCCCTGTTAGTTCAGGTAGACATTAAAGATCCCATGACACCATTTGAGTGGCAAAGAGACCTTATTGATGTTCAACTCCCTCCCAATGAGAGAATGTGTATGTCAACTTGGAACAAATTGATTTCAGCTGCAAGGGAAAATGGGGGAGATGTCAAGAATGCACTTTGGATGTAGGAAATTATGGTTCCTTATTCATGCTGCTGGATAATCAACTTATCCTCCCTTAATATTTGAACTCACTTTCAGCGATTAGGAGGGAGTAGTAAAGCATAGTTATATTTCCCTGTTCAGAAACCACTGTTACTGTCACTGAGTAGATCTCTGGACATACACAAATCTCTTTTAACAGATGGACCTGACAAGAAATTTTAAGGATTTCTTTCAATAGAAGTCTTCTACAGAGGCAAACTGCAGCAGTTGAAATCGCTCACCTGGCAAAACTGCCTTGAATACAAATCGTTTCGCTGAACTCCCTGAAGCCTAAAATTCACTCATTAGTGAGCAGCGACATTTAGATTGCATTTTATGCTTCAGCCAATGTGAAATTGACTTTAAATTTTAATATATAAGGTGCAAAAAGGGGGAAAAAGCCTGTGCTGAAGGGATTTGGGGGAAAGGAGGGAGAACCTGATGATAAAAGGTATTTTGGGGGGCTGGCAGAACAATTTATTTCTCAATCTGAGGAATCAGATTATTTATTATTTTTTGCACTACCAGCTTTACTTTGATTTTAATTTATTGTACAGCATTTTTTTTGTGGAGGGACTGCATCTGGGTGTGAGGGAAGGTAGAGCAAATGGATATTACGGTTTGGGATATTAATGTTTAAGTTGAAAGGAGGTTATTTACAGCTTTGCGTAGAAAAAATAATAAATGTGAAGTGTTGTGGAAGTAGAAACTAGATATTTTTTATGTTACCCCATCATTGGAATTTAGCAGTGAGCTTCAGAAGTGACCTAAGGTACTCCATCCAACATTTGTGCATATTTTTAAAGCATTTAGGAACTGTAGTGTAACTTGGCACTGAGTTANTTTTTTCAAATAACACTATCTGTCCAAAATAGTTCTATGTTTAAATGTTATGTCTGAAAATTGGGATCATTTAGCACTGAGGATTTTAGTAAAATTAACATTGTTAATGGAGACGAGCAAACTTTCATCTCTTAAAGGTTATATGTGTCTGAGTTAAACTGAACACACATGTTTTTCTTTTGATTACTAATGTGCGCTGTTTCAGAACAGAGTGCTCTTATGAGTATCCAAGTCTGAGGCTTGTTTAACTTGAATACGTTTACACAGGCTATTGCCTTTATCCCTTATTGGCAAAGTCGTTTTTCAGGGTTTTACAGACAAATTTGTCAAAATATACTCAAATCATGAGATACTGGGTGCTTTTAACTTTGAGTCATTCATGGCCTCAATATCAAATGATAAAATTATGCTTCCACAAGTAAAAGCTTTTAGACTTTCATTTGTGAAGGGTTACAGGCACAGACAGTTTTTGTCAGAATTCTCAAAATCACAGAAAATTGGGAAAGATGTTTGTCTTTCTTGTGTGCATTTACGTCCCATTGTGCTTATGTGTGTGTATACTGAACTGAATATGTTGGACTCATACTAAGAGCTTTTAAAAATAGATCTCAGAAATACTTTTATTCATTTACAAGTAGTTTTAGATTATTGTTGATGCCATCTTTAACAACCTCTTACTAGTCTAATATTCAACATGTACAACATTGAGTGCTATGACTTGTACAAACACAGTGAGCAATTTCCACAGTTTCATAAAATGAAACCTGCATTTGTTACAACATAGCATTACTTTACATAGGCATAGTACAGTATTGGCATCATTTTATAATTGGCGTGAAATATGCATTGGGATTATACTTAACCTGATTTATTCCTCTCCAACAGTGCACAGCAACTAGTTCTCATCTTTCCAGAATATTAACCTTATTGTATTCCCATTACATAGGAAACTGTTTCTTAAGTGAGTCAGGTGTCTTTGCCTCAACCATACCACCTGGTACCCTATACCATCTGTTAATCATCCGTGGTGTAGTCTTTTCCGGATTGATGTAAATAAATAGATTAAGTTCAAAATAGTTATTTCATTCGTTAGGTTCTTCTATATTTAAAATAAGAAATATGTGCATTAATAATAATATTATTATTATGTGCATTAAATGTAGATATTCTAATTTTAGTAGAATCTTTCCTGGTCAAGTGCTTATCTTTAGATTGTAATATTGCCTTTTCTTAATGTTTATTTACTAGGTACTACGAGACCAGTTCCAGTATAAACCAGTGCTCTCAAAGGACCAATTTCTACATTGTGGGTTTGCAGAACGAAAGATACAGATTTTGTGTGATATAATCAATATTGTGACAAACCGACACAAGGAAATGGACGGTTTCAACAAGGTATTTGTTCATAATCATTTAAATCCTTATATTTCATCCATAGTGAAGCCTATCTGAGAGTGATTACAAGATTATAATCAGGCCGAGGCATTTGGAAGGCTTTTCATATTACTGTTTATCAAATATAGGAAAAGAGTAATGCAATAAAATGTTCTACTAAACAGAAAGTCTTTAGACTGATAAATTGCAATGTGTAACATGTCTTCTTAACCTGTTGTGGTATCTGCAGAGATTCTTTAACCTCTTAGTTGTCAATTTTTCTAACCTTTTACTATGCAAACTGTGAACTCAAAAATAATTCAATGGTACACTAATAATGGATGTTAAATTTATATTAATAAAAAAGCCTTACATTAATATAGTGCCTTTTACGTCAAGAGGATTAACAGGATTTTACTGTAAAGTGAGGTGACTTTGTGTGTTGTTGGCAAACCTGGCAGCCCAATTTGCGTACAGCATTGTCCCACAAAGTTATATTTCCATCACCAAATTTCATTTTAATTTTGTGTGAATTTTGTACATTGCTGATGAGTAAAAATTGCTGGACAAGATAACTGATTGTACAGAAAAATAGGTTAACTGAAATTAGTTACCACCCCTGAGGCACTGAGGTGAGTAACTATATCAGTTTAGTACGCCTCTTACTTGATGTGTATAATAGTGGCTTACCAGTTCTTGGCCGGCCAACATTTCTTTTCCACAAAGTAAGTGCACCTTCTGCTGGTTAATTCATGGAACAGCATCCTAAGTCTTGCTAGATTCATTTGGCTTTCTGAGATGTTTGTAGGCTTGAAGATCCTATCGGAAATGTAAATCAACTAATATTCATTTCTTTAACCTGTTTGAAATTTGTAAAGAAATACAAATGATTGCAGTTAATATCCCAATTGTAATATTTGGGTTTCAGAAATAAACCTGCTATCCAGTTTTGTTTGTGTAGTTGTTGAAGTTTAGCATCTGTAATGCATTCAGTAAATTGCATCCATGTGCAGCAGGGTTAAGTGCAGATTGAAAAAAAAATTATTCAAATACTAAATGCAAAATTAAAACTTAATTCAACAGCAGCTTAGAAGTCAGAGAGCTTTCTGGAACAATTCTGACCATAACTCAATGTGGCTAAAAAATAATTTCTTCTATAAGTGTTTGTGTTACTTGGTCCTTCCCGCTAGATAAAGCACTTCATAATGTAAACTGCATCTCCAGCAGGGAACCCATTCATGTCATATTAACTCCCAAAATCTGCCTCCAAGCCATCTTAAGTCGGAGCCGAGGTCTTGCAAGTTGGGATGACATACATGAGATTCCTTGTTGGAGTCTTCCTCAAGGTCATTATTACCATCACAAGGCACCAGTAACATTAATGCTTTCCTGGACCACTAAACCCATTTGTTCAGCTATGCCCCAGTGCTTCCACATTTATAATGATGGATTCATTCTTCATTCCAAAGTGTCTTACTTCACACTTTGTTATATTGAACTATTATTTGCCTAATGTTATCTAAATTCCTCCTGCCTAGTTATCTGTTGAAAACAAATTGTTTGCACTGTTAAGTGCTTGCCTGTGTGTTTGTGACTTGTAGGAAGAATGCAATAGAGATGTAAGCAAATATTGAAAGTGAGAGAATATAAGAGTGTGGAAATGAGAGTAGGATCACCAAGCAGACAGCGAACTTTTCTTGCATTCTGTTCGAGTAAGAAGGAGCATTAGAAGACCCTCCCTAGATATCAGAGTGAAAATTTAATCTTGGACATACCTGGGCTTTATTGAGTTGTATGAAAGGGGACACCAATAGAGAAGATTCAAAAATTCCATTTGAGATCAATGGAGCTTTTAAAGCTAAGAAATGTTGTAGGAGATAGGAGCTCAGAGTAGACCCATCAAAGATAAGAAGTAGCAGCTATTGGTTAGACTTCATTGATGAATGAAGAAATCTTCTTTGAGGAACTGGAAAAATAGATTGTCATTGTTCTATAAAAGGGCATAGAAAAAATTGAGGTTTAGATATAAGTAGCCATTTAATTGTGAGGAGAACAGCTTGTGAAGCTGATGAATAGCAATGTACCAAGAATTGATGAGCTGTAGAAAAGAAATGTTTTCTAATTTTTAGATCAAGTTACAACCAAAGAAAAAAACACATTTTATAAAGCCAAAGAGTGAAGGATTACTTCCCAAAGTTGTACCACCTGAACAAAATGTTACGGTAAGTAGCAGAGTCTGCTCTGTATAGCATGACATTATACTATGTTATGCCTGAACTTTAGCCTGTATCTAAACTCATAGATTTAATAAATGAAATTCAGAGGAATTTTTTTTATCAAAAAACTAGTAATTATCAACATCAACAAATTGCATTTATATAGCACCTTTCACATTGGGAGGACGTCCCAGGGCGTCTTGAAGGTCAATGCAGGTCTTGAGATGGACTTTAAAGGAGGCAAGGGAGGGGACAGGTATCAGTTATTTATCAACTATTTGTTATCAATTAATTAATGAAAACCAGGTTAAAAAAAGTTATTGTCTTCTGCCTGTATATGGGAGTGGGGTGGGGGCGGGGGAGGAGAGGAGGTTAAGGGAAAGTAGATGAAAGTACAATTGAACAGAAAGGTTGTTAAATGGAATTTGATAAGCCTTAAGGTGTGAGAGGGAGGGATTCTGCAAGGAGGAGGGATTCTGGGACAGAGTTCCAGAGCGCAGGGGGTGTGAAGCAGCCTGATCTTTGCTGAGCGGCTGGAGCAATAGGGTTCTAGGAGGCTGCGTAAGTATTATGGGGCCGGGCCACGGAGATGGGGAGCCAGTAGAGCCTAGTGAGGGTGGGGTGATCAGCTATCTGAACCTGATGTGGGAGACGACATGGACTGCAGAGTTCTGAGTGGTTTATGTGCCATGGGATATTCTGCTGATGTGAAAGGCGCTATATAAATGTGAAGTGTATTGTGTTGTCTTCAGCTTACGTGGGGAGAAGCTGTGGAGTCAGGTGAGCCAGGCATTCGAGTAATCAAGTCTGGAGGTGATGAGGGTCTCAGTAAATGTAGGAGATGTAGTGGCAGCGCCGGGCCACATTGCAGAGGTAAGGGAAAACAGAGCTAATAAGAACGTGGATGTAAGGTTTAAAGGTGCAAGTTGGTTTGAGCCAAGATTTGGGGATCTATGAGTGTATTGATGAAGTCTAACTAGTTAAAATCATAGCTAGACCTGCTGCCTTAGGAACGATATGACTGAGGCTACCACAGAAGATTGACTTAATTTTTGATATTCTGTTGTGAAGCACACCATCCTGAAGCTAGTTCACCCCCAAGGAGACCCTCGCGTACCCTCCTTCCCCAGGAAAATAGTCACCAGTTGGTCATTTGACATTTAGCAAGTGCAAGTTTCAGCTCACTGGGTTGATAGAAATTACCAGGGTTGTCCTAGAGAGCATTTTCGCAATCTTTTTGCTCACAGCTCAGATACTTTTACCTATGCATTGAGGAATATCACCATGATGTCATGTAATTATAAAAAGCAGAGAATAATGCTTTGAATTTGTATTTAGATAAAACCGTTGGTAGAACGACATTTAGGCAATGAAGCTTTGCAAACCAATTTATGCAGTCCTGAAATTGAGGTTACTGAAGACAATTCTGTGAATTTGAATGAATTCATCAAAGAAACTACTTGCAAATGTGAAGTAAGTTTTTAGACTCTTGGTAGGTAATCTTTTCTTTCACAGTGAAACGTTTCATTACATTCTGTTTAGAACTTTTTTTTTAAATCCTGTTTTAAATTGCTTGATGTTTTTATACATAAGATACAATGCTTTGTACCCATTTAGCACACAACAATTACAATGAACCTTGGTTATATATTATACATTGTGTGTGTGTGTATGTTTATACACATAGGTAGTATTAACTCTGAATTTTCTCCATGTTGAGAAGTGAATATGCACATTGTATAATGTTCATTAAAAAATACAAGAAATTGAGGGAGCAGGAGCATGTTCTCATAGCTCTCTATGTTAAATATTTAAAAAGGACTAATTTGCAGGGGTATGAGGAAAAGACTGATAATTAGGACCAAATGGCGATGGCTTTCAAACCGCCAGTACAAACATGATGGGTCAAGTGGCCTTTATGCTGTAAGATTCTATGGTCCTAGTCTATTTAATAATCCTTGCATTTGATATAGTGCTTTTCACATCTTCTAGACGTCTCAAAGAGCTTCACAGAATATGGAATGCTGTAAAGTGAATTGACTGTATATTTGTGGGCAAACCGCGGCAGCCAATTGCGCACAGCAGTGACTCACAAACAGGCGTGGATTGAAAATAACCAATGTATTATTGTTTTTTGTTCTGGAGGGATTATTATCAGGTGTGTGGAGTAAGGAAACTTGCCCAAAGTTTCACCCTGCCTGGAATTGAACCCTGGTGTCTCACTTGCAAGGCGGGTGCTCTAACCACTGAGCTACAGGACTTGTATCACAAAATACAATTGAACCTGGTTATAAGGTAGAAATTGGGGTTCATTAAATCACAACCAGCCTTATAACAGAGACACTATGGTTGGTCAGTGCAACTGTCATACACATTGAGATATTTACCTCTAATAAAACAGGAATTCATCAGTGAAACTCAATAAAGCTAAAATTTTACAACTTTGTGAATGCTTCAACACAATCCGTATTTATTGAAAAAGTGGCATGACATGTCTATGGATATGATTTCAAGTATGAAGTGGTTAGTCAATTACATTTATCTTGCAATTTTCTATAATTTTTGCTTAACATGCTCTTTCCGTAACTTGATAGAACTTGTTAAAGGACGGCACCTATTGTAGAGGCAGTAGTTATGTTGAAATCTGCTATTATATATTTTTTCTGATGTGCACGACAGTTGCGCTGACCAACTATCGTGTCTCTGTTATAAGGCTGGTTGTGATTTAATGAACCCCAGTTGCTACCTTATACCAGGTTCAATTGTATTTTGTGATATAATTTAAATGATTCTGATTGTATTCAGATGCCTGATGGGGGAAGTAGAGGAGTTCAGACTTCAACTGCAGATGGACTTGACCCATTGCTTCTATTAAACAAAACTATTGTCATAATTGTTTTGTTAAATTTGGTATCTCTTTCTGAACTGATTGTCACAGGAATCAAACTGCCATTCAGAGATTGAAATGCTGAAGTGTCAGATTGCTGAATGCCAAGAGAAGCTCAAGGTACTGGATGTGGTACAAAGTAAGTTGCAGACTTTAGAACGTGAAACAGAAGGAAAGGTGATCATAGATGAGAAGGACTGGAACAATCTGATGAGCCGTGTTATTCTGTTAGAAACTGAGCTGATGCTCCGTTCAAAAAAGGCAAGTTGAAATTCTTTTTAATGACTTAAGGAAATGCTGGAGTCTGTTTTCTTATTTGAAAAGTATCTTTATTGAGATCAAAAAACGTTTCTTTACATAAAAGATTTGAAAATGTGGAATGCACTGGCGCAGAAGATCATAAATGCAAAAGCTAGGATGTAATAAAATGGTCAATAGACTTGATGAATTAAATGGTCTATTCCTGTTCTTATTTCAAAGTAATTAGTTGAGCCATTCAAAAGGAAAAAAGAATTGAAATGAATTTGAAGTTATTTTACAACAAAGTTTGAAAGCAGAAGTGAACCACAAGAAGAAAAATGTTTCAACAGTGAATCATTTTATTTTTATCTCTAGAGCACTTATTCTTCTGATTTCCCTGTCACGAATGAAGAATGTTCTTCCAGCAGCATGGCGAACCATAATTTTACAGGTAAATCTAGCGCAAAAGCCAAAAGCTGTCACAACAATGCTGTTGCCATGGGAAGTCTAGAGTGACTCTTTTGTATCTCCCAGAGATTGAATTGAAAGCGGTAGTGGCATATTGACCCATTGGACTGAGTATTATTCCATATATTTTTCGATATCAACCTGTCCGCTCCGTCCGTTAAGCAGGCTGTGGCCTGCTCCATGACCCCCACCTGGCCTGCCTGACCATCGGCGTTCGGATCTTCAGCCTTTCTGCCCCCACTCTTTGGAACTCCATCCCCCAATCCCTTTGCCTCCCTCCCTTGCCTCGTTCAAGGCACGTCTCAAAACCCCCCTCTTCGACCGCAGCTTTGTCCACCCTCCCCGATCCTGACCCTCAGCTCGGGTCCAAATTCCTGATTGTCCAGCACCTTGGGACGTCCTCCTGACATGAAAGGTGCTATACAAATGTAATTTTGTGTTGTATATAGCAAGACTTGTAAAAAGGACAGAATGTGAATTGTTAGGAAATATCTTGTATTTATATAGTGCTCTTCGTGCAGGGCAAAGTCTCAGAGCAATTACATTTATTTATCTAAAAATGTATTTGAGGAAATGTATTTATTCCTTACTCCACAAGCCTAATAATAATCCCTCCAAAGCAAAAAAAAAAAAAAAAATTGGTCATTTTCAATCCATGACTATTTGTGGGACATTGCTGTGCCCAATTGGCTGCTGCATTTCGTCCACAACTGTACAATCAATTCACTTTATAGCATATTCTGTGAAGCGCTTTGAGACATCTAGAAGACGTGAAAAGCGTTATATCAAATACAAGGATTATTATTTTATTATTTATCTAGATACAAATTCCAAAAACAGTAAGGAGAAATTAAGAAATAATGCATGATTTTAGAGAGTCCATGATTATCTCTTTGTTTACTTGGTTTGTTGAACAGTATACATCTTTTTTTATATTACTTAGATTCTGTTTCTTAATTGGTGCTGTATTTCAATGTGGGTGTTCATAGTGTGCGAGTGCACTATGCGCAGGAAGTACCGTTGATGTCACATCCTGTGTACTGCACATGTCTACTGATGTTATTTTGTACAGGAAGTGAATTCACAATCCAGAAGCGCTGACTGGTGGCTATTTTTAAACACCCTGTTATAATTTTGAGTTTATCACCCCCAACCACCAGGATAGAACAGTACACCTTTAACTATACACCTTTAATGATATATATTTTCAATAAAAAAGATGCAGTGTGCAACAAACAACGAAATTATATCCTCTGTAACGGCTGTGACAATAGCCATTAAGAAATATTTATGTTGAAGACTTTTCAAATTAACTTTCTTCAAATTCCTAAGATTTGCTCAATCTTGCTCAGGTTGTAAACACGCAAGCAAGTATATGAAGATAATAAATAATCCTCGCATTTGATATAGCGCCTTATTGCATCGTTGAAATGTCTCGAAGCGCTTTGCAGAATATATTGTGAAGTGGATTGACTGTATTTTATGAGTGCCATGTGGTAGCCAATTGTGCACGGCAGTTATTTTAAAATTAAATTCTTTTTAATGAGTCAGTGATACAAAATATTAACTGGCCATTTTATGTATATTTTTCTCCACCACGTCGTCCTTCCTCCTAAAACATGTTCTGTGTCGACAGCCCTTTGTGCAAATGTCGATTCTTTTTCTTGTAACTTGAGCAGTGAATTGTGTGCATTTCCACCATGTAGAATAGGATGGTTGAGCGTAGTGGCTGTCTTCTCGCAGTATTCACACAAACGCACGTATCCAAATATACATTCATGCGCTCCAGGATGCTACCCCGTGTGAAGGGTGCTATATAAATGCAAGTTGTTGTTGCTGTATGCCAGATCTCATCTAATATAGTCTACAGCAACATCACATTTATATAGTGCATATCACCTAGGAAGGGAGGTCCCAAGGAGCTGGACAGTTAAGGGTTTGGCCTTCTTAACTGTCTTGATTAACTCAGTACAGATTTAGGATTAAACCAGCTTTCTGTATCACTTAGACACACCCTCTTTATTATGTTTAAGATTCATTTTATAGTCCATAAATTATAATGTTCATGTGCTTTTAATACTGAGTCTGTAGACCTCTTCACATCAAGGAATTGCAGAACTTGTCATCCATTGGAATGATTTAGACTTCAGTAATATGTCATTACTGGCTCAAGGGATGATAAACCTGGAATTCTGCAGATAATCTCATTTAGCAATGCAGTCTGGAGTTGGGGGAAGGGAAAATCAAACCAGTTTGATCTTTAAATATTAGCAAAAGATGCAATTTAAATTTATTAGTGAGGTTCAGCTATAGCATTTGGATTTCTAAACCATGTCTACTATACTGTTACTTTGCACTTTTCATAACAATTCCTGTTATGTGACCCTGTGTAGGTGTAGAGAAAGGCTAAGGAGACAAAACATGAATTTTTTTGCAGATGGAGAGAAAAGAGTTGAGACGCCACAGAGTATTCTCTATCATTCATCTGGTTACACCTCGCTTCTATCAGCAGATGAATCACCCAAGGCAATGAACATCAATTTACTAGGTTTGACAGAAAGCTCGAAGGTAAGAAAAGTTTACGAAGGTTTCTCTTCATTCTTTCAAGGTCACAAGAGTGCAATAACATTAAATATTGTTTTATTCAAGATTTTTATAAAAATTGAGCTGATGATAATTTAAATATTCAGATATATTGATTTGTTTAAAGAAATATTTTATGTTTAACTTTTTTTGAAAATAACTCATTCTTTCAGTTGTCAGCTTTGTCAGTTCCTTGCTCACAAGACAATCATTGAAGTTATCCTTGTGCTTGGATCCATATAGACAATAAGCTACTACTTTTTTAAAAACAAAAATACATTCACAATAGTTTATATGAATTTAAAATTAACCGCCTTTTAAGCCTATTTTTTAATCAATATATTAAAGCCAGAATAGTTTTTGTTAAAAAAATGGGGTAAAAAATGTAGTGTGTGACGTGATCACACTGTGGGACATTCAATAATAGCAAATTATATTTGTATAGCGCCTTTCACGTCAGGAGGACGTCCCAGGGCTCTGGATGTCCCATTCCACTCTAAATAGCATCTGCAGTGGGACAACAATCCTCCTCCTCATTAAAATGATTTTGACCAAAAGCTGGTTTCTAAAGCTATTGAGCTGGCCAATGTCACCTTTGATCTTGTCACCATGCAACTCCTAACAATTCAATGGCACTTCAGGGAATTCTCCATTGGGATGATTTTATGTTGTATTTTACAGAAAGAAGCAATGCAGCATACGGTGGATAGGATAAGCAAAATGTAAGTATTTTTTACTTAGATGTTTAAATTGGAAGCTGCTGCATGCATGCAATTTTGTGCTTTTACCCATAATTATAAATGAGGAAAAGATTCAGTAAGCGATTTTCTAAGAGTATTGTCGTTGTTTGCTGTTTAGAAACGTATGTTTGGATAGCAACCAATTCTTGTAGGAAAAGGGGGTAAAGGAAAAGCGGACTTGGGCCTTCTTACTGTATTTTCTATGTTTCTGAGTGAGTCAATGAAGGATATATTCAGATAAGCCATAGGAGCAATTTAGCAAAGTCTGCTTTTGTCATCTTGGGAATCATACACACTGACTGTTATTTCAAAACCTTTGTTGTGTGAAAAGAATATATAAAATTCTGTGGTTGCAGTATTGTAATCTGTTGAATCTTCATCAAGTAAATATAGTAACCTGAGTCATTGAGCGTTCCCATTCTGTAGCAAAGAATACAAAACAAAACAAAAAAAATTTGGTCACTTCAATTCACGACTGTTTGTAGGACACTGCTGTGCGCAATTGGCTCCTGCGTTTTGCCCACAAGTATACAGTCAATTCACTTTACAGAATATTCTGAGATGACTATAAGACGTGAAAAGCGCTATATCAAATGCAAGGATTATTATTATAGACTTACTGTGGAAGAAGTTACTGAGCTGGCCTAGAGACCGAAAGCTTTTGTTGCTAACTGCTAAGTGATTTCTTTGTCATTTTGCTTTTAAATCTTTTCAAATTTAAATACAATCTCACCCTTTCTGTAGTGTCTAATTATTACCAATTGATGGCACAGATTTCTGTACCGCAATATTTTAGTATCTTGCTCATGCAACTGTGTAATACATTCTCAGTCTTGCCACAGCATCACCCAGTCCCAGGAATCTTGTACCACATAATTCAGTTCAGATGTTTATGACCTTTTTATCCCTTGGTAATAACCTGGTATGAGGATACCAAGCTTCAAATAAGTACGTTCTGCTGGTCTCAGTTTCCCAGTGGAATTTGTGTTCAGTTTTTGGATGATATGTTGGATGATGATGGCCAGTTCCTGGAAGAAATGTTCTAATAAAGTAGTATTAATCGATTTTTTTTTAATTCCAGGATTGAAGAAACTTCAGATTTGTTGAAGTGTACAGAAAATCCTCTTTAAACTGTCATAATATTGTGAAGGTGCGACACCAAAACATTGTATGGATCTTAATGTATTTATGCTGAAGTATTTCTGTTGATAAATAATGATATATATATATAGGTTTGTATTGTATATATTATGACATTTTGATTGTTCTTTTTCTTCACCAAACAAATTAATGATACTTTAAAAATGCTGTAAATCAAAACTAATAGAGGTAATTTCAAACAACTCAAAATGATCAAAGTGAAACCAGTGTCAAGTTAGATTCAACCTGTACAAATTATATGACCTGAATAAAGATTAATTTGGTATTTTTCTTCCTTTTGTACAACTTTCCTGTAATAGTTCAGCTATGCAGTTTCAGCACCATCTAGTGTTACATTTTCAGAATACAAAGTACAAAATCATCACAATCTGTACATTGTATTAATTACCTGGGATCTAAAACATTTTTTCCAGTTCAGATTATCTTTTATTTGATGCCCATGTAAAAAAATTTGGATGACCTTTGAGCAGATTAATTTAACTTTCAGTTGTCTCTATGCAATAAACAGATGAGCTCTGGACTTGATTGTAACTTGATTGATTGCAACATTGCCTATCTCCGCCACTACCTCACCCCTCAGGCCACTGAAACTCTTGTTCATACCTTCATCATCTCCAGGCTCGACTATGCAAATGTCCTGCTTGTCGGCCTTCCCAACTCCTCCCTCCACAGGCTGCAGATAATCCAGAACTCTGCAGCCCGTGTCCTCTCCCGCACCAAACTCCGTGACCCCATCTCCTCCATTCTTGCCCGACTCCATTGGCTCCCTATCCTTCAGAGGATCCAGTTCAAGATCCTACAAAGCCCTCCATGGTCTCGCCCCAACCTACCTCTGTGACCTCCTAACACCCTATCAACCCGCCCGTTCCCTCCGCTCAGCTGGCTCCGGCCTGCTCCATGTCCCCCGACCCACCCGCCCCACCATTGGTGAGAGAGCCTTCAGCCACTCTGCCCCCAACCTCTGGAATTGCATTCCCCAGTCACTCCGCCTCGCCCCCGTCTTAGCCTCTTTCAAGTCCTACCTCAAGACCCTCCTTCGACCATGCCATCAGCCAACCCCCTTCCCCTCCCCTCCCTGCCCCCAACCCCAGCTCGGGTCTGAAATACTGTTACTCTGTCCAGCGCCCTGGGACGTCCTCCCAACGTGAAAGGCACTATACAAATGTAATCTTGTTATTGTTGATGGTCAGCTATTTTTATTTCAATTAAAAGAACTAAAAGTTTGTAACATTGTAAACATGTTTCCTCTTTGGCCGCATATTTGTTCATCTTTCCTAGACTTAACTCGGGTGCCAAACCAGGACTGTTATGGTCCTTGGGATGTCCTCCAGATGTGAAAGGTGCTATGTAAATTTGGTGGTGTTATATTGTAATAGGATTTCTAATGCCAAGCTCTACACTGACAAAAACAATTAATATCTTTGATTATTCCAGTATCATAATATTTTTTTGGTTGGATTGCAAGGAACATTAAAATATCCTTTCATGAGTGGGCACTCTGAAACTCAAAGCAATGAAAATACCCTTTTCTATGTCAGTTTTGACCAATAGCACATTGGATGTCCCACTACGTACTAAATAGACTTTTTGAACATCAAAATGATTTCTTCTGTTTTCTTAAGAGCTTTAAATTAGCAAGCCCCAATTTGTATGAAAGACTATTAATGTATCAATGATATTTTAGTATCAGTATTACTGATGTGGTGTAAATCATTTGCAACTACTCGCAAACAGTAGTTTTCCTACCACCTGAAGTAGTAAAGATAATTTATGTGGAAGAGCCCTTGTGTCTATCTCACTGTTCTCTTTTCTTTTGTGGCAAGTTCAACAATTGTCTCTGCCAGTCTTAGATTTCCAAATCAGGATGTGAATTATATATAATATATATTGGGTCTCATTTCCAATCTTTCTTTCTGATTAATAATAATCCCTCCAAAAACCAAAAACAATAATAAATTGGTCATTTTCAATCTACGCCTGTTTGTGGGACATTGCTGTGCGCTATTGGCTGCTGCGTTCGCCCACAAATGTACAGTCAATTCACTTTATAGTGTGTTCTGTGAAGCGCTTTGGGACGTCCTCCCGACGTGAAAAGCGCTGTATCAAATGCAAGGATTATTATTATTAAGTATATTGGAGATAAATATTTGAAATCACATATAGAATGACCTTTTAACACATTGAACATTACATAAGGCATTTTTTATTTTGTCACACTGCCTTAGTCTGTCAAATGCACTGCATGGATTCTACCTTACAAGAACATTTAATATTTGAACAAAGTAAATCCTGTATATTAATAGTTGATTTCACAATTTGGACAGCTGAATAAAAAAAAACATTTTTGTTCACCATGTAACACTATTTTACAGAATCTCTGGATATGCTTTCTTTGATGAAAAAAGGATTTATGTGCTCCCTCAGTTTATAATAATCTAAAAATAACTGAGTACTTTACCTCTGCATAATCTGGATATTCTACTGTAACCAAGGTAATTGTAGAAAATGTGTGCCAAAGTGTGAAAATCTCTGATTTAGGTGTTGATTTCTGATCAGCTTTCACTGTAAAAATTGGTATTAAATGGTGAAAACTTACTTTAAAAGCCCTTAAACATGATTGAATCAGTAGAATTTTGAACAGCATCCAAGTATTCAAATAAAATACGTCTTGGAACAGGTGAACACTGGATTACTGATGTGAAATGAACCCTTATGTGCAGAATTTTTGTAAAGTTATTACTGTGCAAGTTTGAAACTTTTCTAGTAGTGTCAATGCTGATAAATAATTACGGTACTAAATTTGCAAAATTATTGAAATGTTTAAAATACAGATTAAGTGATTAATTTTCAGTTCTCACCTGAACCACTAGGTGGAAACAAATGACAGTTGTTGCAACTGAGTGATAAAACGACATTGTTTATAGACACCACAAGAAAGGCTTGGATATATTTGATCTCATGCTTATAGAGTAACAACACCAGCACCCTTTCCATCAGACTGTTTTAAATTAATCCAGAATCCTGGCTACAAGTTTTATCTCCCAATCCAGAGCCTTTAGGTTATTTTCCTGTTCTGTACCATTTGTCTTACCAGACCCTATCTCAGAATGAATGCTTGAGAGCTGCATGTTATAATAGAGCCCTGCATTTTGAATATTTATCCCAATATTTTGAATTCAGAAGGTGGCTGCTACGATTTATCCATATTTGCTTCACATTGTTGTGAGTTTTACTTGTCGACGAAATCAAATATCAAACTCTTATTTGCCAACCCATGTCTTTCCCATTGAAATTTACTGTCAGGATGACACCAGAGTTTGGAGCTCTTTCTCATCATTGATCGCTTAAGCTAATATTCACAGGGCACTAACGTTGATAATATATCATCAATCTGCGTTTTTTCCGTCTTTGGGAGTAAAGCATTACTGAAGAGAACCTAAGTAGCCTTGGGGGTAAATTTGAAGTTTGCAAATTTTATTATTTTCCTCTGAAAAACACTTTTCTCACACAACTTTGTGTTATTTGCAAACTTAGTTATTCTATATTTTTGAGACCATTTGTAGAAATTGTTAACAGCAAAGGACTCAGGACTAACCTTTGGGAAATCCACAGGCCACACATTTCCAATTAGAATACTGCCATAGATCAGTACCATAATTCCCTATTATGTTGGCAATTTATTATCCAATTTACTACTTCCTCCTTTATTGTAAGAGTTTTTGCTTTGCTTCCTCTGGTAATTTTCCAACCACAGATGTTGAGGTTTTTTCATAATACAGATGTCAAGCTAACAAGTCTTATAATTTTCAGGATGATGATACTGACCTTATGATTTTTTTTAAAAAAGGAATAATCTTAGCTGTTTTCCAATTGAACGTCACTAGGTTTAAAATTATTAGGCTGCAAACATTTTTAGCCATTTAACTCTTCCTTAAATATTTATGGGATTTGCCTGTTCATTTGGTTGTGTTCTTTATGGAAGTACTTAATGTTTTATTTCAGCAGAAATCTATATATTCTTTATGAATTTATATGTAAAAGTATGTTCAATCCTTCCAAATAAGAAAGAGCTGTATGGACAATTTTTATGCACATATTTATTGTGAAACAAAATATCAACATTTGATTAGTTTTCCTCACAATCTCATATTGTAAATGACTATAATACTACTACTAATTAATAATCATGGAATTGGTATGAAGCTTTTCATGCTTTAAAAAATCAGTGGCAAGTGAAGCTTAAAATATTTTTAAAAAATGGTACTGTTGAAGGTAAAAAGTTCTAGTGTTTTGATTATACAATACTACAAAGCTGCTAATTGTTTTCATGGTACGAAACCTAGCACATTTTGAAAACCGGACAAGATATTTTTGCCCAAGCTCATTAAGTTTGTTCCACTTTCTTACAACCATAATCCCTCTCCAGAAATACATCTAGTTGTTTTATAAACCTATTTATGCTATTTGCCTTCTCGAGCAATTTTTGCTCTTTTTTAAAAATTATTTCAGTAAAATTGTCCTATTGATGTATGTTCCAGCAAATACGTAGATGTACACTCTGAGGTCCCAAGCCTTGGCTCTTGCCAACTTTTGCCTAGGACTCTGGAGTTGTGTTAGCAGGGTGTGTTCCTCTGGGGAGAGTGCTCTTCAATCTAGATACAAAAATGTCCACATATTAGGTAGAACTCTGTCTAGTTTGGATACTGTTAAGCATTGAAATGGGTTTGCGCATGTGTCAGACACCCCCAAAACTACTTATTTTTAAAATTGACAATATATCCATCTACTTTTGAAACCTATTAAGTCTTGAGGTCTCCTGTTGTCCAAGTTTCTGAAAATTTTGATTCCAATCCAATGGTTATTGGATTGTTACTTCAGTATTTAAGGAAATTCTTTTCTCAGTTTTTAGCAGCCACTTTCATCAATATAATGATAATAATATCCTTGTTATGGAATCGTCTTTTTAAATTCTAAATATTTAATATTCTAAATATTAAATTCTAGAGTTCAATTTACATCTACAACAGTCTCTCAGCTGATAACTGCAAACAAATCCTTTCCCCTGTGATTTAGACACTCCAGCTTTTTTGTCTATTTGGCTCAATTGGTAGCACTTTGATTGTTAGTTCAGGAATTGAGCTCATACCCAAGGTACACACTCCAGTGCAGTTCTAGGGTAGTGTCAAGAGGTGATGTAATTAAGCTGAGCAATTTGCCACCAAACATGCTACAGAACGATCACTTGAATTAAGTCAGCTTTAGTCAGGTTTGGTTAAGTCAGCTCTTCTTGAATCATTTTTCTCTTTTTGTCACAAATAAGTTTATGTTCTGTCCACTATCCCCCTGCCCCCCGCACACATAATAAATAATAATAATAACCCTTGCATTTGATATAGTGCCTTATGTCGTTGAAACATCTCAAAGTTTTTCATAGATTATATTAGAAATAGTGAATTGACTATTTTGTGAGCGAAACACGACAGACAATTGCACACAGCAGTGTGCCGCAAACAGTCATGGACTGAGTGACCAAATTATTATTATTATTATTAATGTCAATGTAGCTGAAGACACACACAGCTGTTTT